CGCTGCCCTCCGCATCCTCCGCTGTCTGGCTGGGTGGCGGCCTGCCCGTCTCCTATCAGCCGGGGGCAGAGGCACGCGTGGCACGGAGAAGGAAACGTGGCAGAACCTCGGATGCGTGAGGCGCCGGGGGAGCCGGCGGGCAGCGGGCGCTCCTCGTGTCTGCGGTGCTGCCTTCGTCCTGCGGGCTGGGAGCCCCTCGGCAGGAGGCGGCTGTGGGCTCCGGGAGTGCCTGGAACGGAGCTGGTGAGGTAGGAAGAAGGAAAAGTTTCTTCGTGTCCACCTCCCTGCCTTCCTGATTCTTTGAGGGATCTTTGCCTGTGCGCAGGTGCTTTCCTGCTGATCGAGTAGGTTTCAGTCACGGGCTGAAACGATCTTGCTGTGATGCTTTGGGGCAAGCGGTGGTAATAACGTGGTAAAAGTGCCGTGAGGGTCCTTCAGCCCTGGCGTATGAGAGGAAGAAACAAAGTGTTGCAGGAATTAAGAGCGTCCCGCTGTTCACTAATGGGAAACCTGGTCTTAAAATCCCCCAAGAAGGGACTGCAGCAGTGAGATGCTGCTGTGCAGAAGGGAACAGGGTTGCTCAGTGGATAATCTGAATTCAGGAATGGTTTTTCAGCTGCTCCAGTGGGAGGGGGTGTGCTGGAAAGAAGAGCTACTGGAACGAAGATTGGCTTCATTATGCCTGTCTGGATGTGCACAGCATCTCTGGAGTTATCCCTCTGCTGAAGTGAAGGGCACATTCCTGGAGGATGCATGAAGTAAAAAGGGGAGCAGGGCATGAGAAGAGGCATGGTGTGTAATTATAGATGTCAGGGTGTGGTCTGGTCGTGTCCTGTTAATATCAACTTATGTTAATTCTGTGTTTCAGAGACTAAATCACCAGGTGCTGCCTTTTTCTGTTCCTGTTTAAGATGCTTTGACAGTGTGTCTTGGTAAGCTCAGGGAGATGTTCAATAGGGGAGAGATGTGAGCAGCAGCAGCACAGAGGAGGGGCCACACTGGTGAGGGGCTGAAGCATTCAAGGCCAGGCTTTGGCCTTGATGAGACTTTGAGCAACCTGCTCTAGAGGGAGCAGGTTATAGCCCTGCCTATAGAGAGGGGGTTGGAACTGGATGATCTTAAAGGTCCCTTCCAACCAAAACCATTCTGTGATTCTATGACAGTGAGCATCAGCTGGTGAGCTGAGCGGAGCGCTGCACTGCTGCTCAGGACTGAAACAATTCCCCAACACTTGGGTCTTTGCTATGTCGTTTTAGATTTGGCTTTATTCCGTGCTATTAACCCAGCATTTCAGCTTTGTACCCTCAGCAGCACACAGACTTGTTTAAACTTCTTTTTTTGCCACCTTTCATCAGACAGTCAAAACTGGAGTCACGCAGAGCTCACTCAAGGTGAATATTTGGGAGGGCCAGGAGGGGTGTTCCTTTCTCATCTTGCTTGTCAACTGTGCTGCTGCGGGCTGCAGGTAGTAAAAAATCCATTTGTTTTATGAAATGGGAGAAAAGAAAGCTGGCACATTGTCATTAGTATGATGAGAGCAGTTGTCACTGCCCAGTCAGTGCAATGTTTGCTGGCTGGGTAATACCTGATGATTCAGAAATGAGAGAAAATGTCCATAACCCTAACAGCCCTTTTGTTCTGGAGAAGAATTCTTCCTGATCCCAAGCAACAGGAAATATGGTTAATTCTGTCTTGTTTTGTTACATACACTAATGATCATCGTGTTGTTTGTTTTTGTTTTTAATTTGACTTGTCTGCTCGAATAAATTTTTGCAGGAGCAAAAACCAGATTTGTGTTAGGAGCTTTGCGAACAGTCCTGGGTGGTGCTGTGGGTGTTATTTGTCTGTTTCAGAAAGTTGAGTTGTGTGAAGGCAGAGCCCCAAAGAAGGTAATCTGATGTGCTGTGGGAGATATTGTCCTTTAAATGCCATTTTTTTGGAGCCAAATGAAGTGAGAGCTGCTTACGATGATGAAGAGAGAGTCCTGCTGGGTGAGACTGAGGCTCTTTTGCTAACATGAGTTGTGCATGAACAACATAGCTCTATGGGAGCAACCTGAACTGAGCCTTCCTTGTGTCTCACAAGGGATTGATAACTAAAGCTCTGCAAATCCATCTGTACCATGGAAGAGCCATTCTTCGGGCTGCTTCTTTGTCACTGGCAGCAGCAGGATGAGAGCAGCCCGAAAAGCTTCTTTGTGCGGTGAGCTTTCAGGGCCAGCTCTGGATCAGGGTCAAAGTCTCACGTAGAAAACATGCTAATAGCGTCTGTAAGTAACTGTCAGTAATGTCCTTCTACCTTTCTTTGGTTTGTAACAAGGAGAGTTCTGCTGTACAGTAAGGGAGGTGAGAGCAGACACCTTGCTGGTTTGTATCCCGGCCTTTTCTTCCTCATCCAACGTAGATTTGAGAAAACAAATCCCACTGCTCCTTCTCTCAGTGCCTAGTCTGTCCCTCTCCTGTGAAGCGGGAGCAGCACTCTACATTTACATCACATATCCCATCATCACTTAGGAATATTGGAAAAGAGAGATCTCCTCCTCTCATGATCCCAAGGATCTGGCAAACAAGGTGCTCTGCTGCTGTTTGTGTTAGCAGGCACTCAGCTTTTGCTGTGTAAGGCCAGACAGCTTTCGCTTTCCAGGATTAAAAGCATGGTGCTTGTATTAGCAACAAGAAATCAGCAGAGCCTTAAATGAGTTCTGTTTTGCTCTGATGTTTTTTTTTTCCCTGAGCCACACGGGGGAAGCCTTTCTTATCTCCAGATTTGAGAAATAAGTGCTACAGGCAGACCCTAAAGCCTTTTCAAGCTGTGCCCTGCATAAAGGATGTGCTGTCTGCTTTGGAGCCAGCTAGCAAAATAAAAAGAGGTTTGTTCTGTGAGGAAAACGTCTGTCCGTAGGCAGGAAGTCTGCATTCTGCATAAGTGGGTGTTGTGTGGGAGTTTCTGTCGAGACAAGCTTGACATGTCAAACTGTGAGCAGGAAATCAGGCTGGGTTCTGCCTGCCCAGTGCAGAACCAGTAGGAAACAGCATTCTGCTTTTTCACATCCTTATTTTCAAAATGGATACACAGCTGGAAGTGCTCTGTCCCTCTGTGTCAGCTAGCCGGGCTTTGTCCCTTTGGCTCCAGTTGAGTGCTGCCATCCTTGCAGCAGTACAGAGAGCAAAGCAGAGGCATGGGAGTGCCTCTTACAGCATTTCTGTGCCTGCTTGCTTTTCCAGCCTGGCCAGGAGTCTGCAGGATGCTTTTTGGCAGGAGACACGACACAGAGTTCCTCCCAGTTCATCTTTTGCTGGGACTGGGGCCACTGAACCCCGAGGCACACTGCTGCCGTCCATGACAGCACCATCAGCAGCTTGCATCATTCCTGGGCTCTGAGAGGGTGTCAACCCTTGCCACTGCTTGCCAGGCTCCTTCCACTCTTTCTAGGCTGTCTTGTCCTCTGATGGAGGATTCTTACAGGGAAGTGGGATGAAGGCAGCTGAAGTTCCTCAGCTTTTCATTCCCAGTCACCAACTGAGGTTGGAAGTGAGCAGGAAGGCTTCCTCAGCACCTCCCTCCTGCACCTAGAGCAGCGTGAGGCCAATTGTTTGTAAACATCTCAGGTCTACAAACCTATTTCAAGGTATTTCCTGTGGTCATCTAGGTTTACTGGTATCACATTGAATGCTTAACCAGGAGCCTGTGCAGCGCTATGTGGAATTTTGCATGCTTCCAAAGGCAGGGGTCAGGGTACCAGGTCCAGAAGCTACTGTGTCTTATCCCATGCTCAGAGGTATGGCTGTGCTGTGCTCACTCACCTGCTTATCTGTGATGCTGGAGTTTTCTTCTGACTGTATGCATGCAGAGCAAATATTGACTCGTGGAACTAATGGCATTTGTGGCTCCAGGACACGCCTTCACCTGGCTGAAGGGGAAACTGCTGGGGGAAGGGAAGGCAGAGGGAATTACCGGGTTCCTGCTGAGGGTTCTCCTTGTGCCATGCATTAGGTGAGTCATGGTTTGAGCTCTGAAAACAAAGCTTCCCAAGTGTGAGGGCACAGAAATGAGCTGCCTGATTCAGTGCAAGCTTTTTGTCTTCATTTCTAAGAGAAGGACGTTCTATATGTTTAATTGGTTGCAATCTACTTGGGGTTTTAAAAGCTGAATTGGAAGGGACTTCCAGAATTACACCAAGTATGTGGCTTCCTGGTGAGTATTGTGGCTTTGCTATTGCCCTTACTACTCCTACAACTCTTTAAATAAAAGAAGACCATAGCAGTGAGCAGTGGAAGCCAACTGACAGTCTGTGTTGAAATTAAGCATGGTGGTTAAAATTGGCAGGGGAGGAATATGCCTGGGAAGGAGTTTTGGGGCCAAAATAAAGATCCTACTGTAAAGCTCCAGACAGCATTGCTCCACTAGGAACAATTTCTTCTCAGTAAGAGACGTGCTGCAGTGGCACAGACTGACCAGGGAGGTGGTGGAGTCACCGTTCCCTCGAGGTGTTTGCAAGCCATGTGGATGTGGCAAATGCTTAGTGGGCATGGTGGGGATGAGCTGGCGGTTGGACTGGGTGATCTCAGAGGTCTTTTCTAGCTTTAATGGTTCTGTGATTCATGGCCTAGACATCCAGGCACTACCACAACAGGGTTAAGTGGAGATCACATGGCAAAAGAAGCCAAGCGAGTAAAGCATGGGCAGCAGGAGATTGTTATCTGTTTGCAGGAAGGCAGGTATTTGAAATCTTTTGAATTGCAGCTGTGTGGAAGGGCAAGTTTGTCCAGAGGAGGCTTGGTACTGTCAAGTGGAGGTAAATTTGCAGGTCTCCTTTGCAAACATCCATTTCTAAAGGACACTTGCAGGGAAAAGAAAGTAAACAGATGTATTTCTTTGTGGTGCGTTTGTGACTCTGGCAGGGGTTTTGCAGCTGGAGCGCTTCAAACAGCCGCAGCTTCCACTGCAGCACCTTTTTTAGGTACACAAGCTGTCCTTCTGGCTGTCCCCCAGTGAACTGGGAGCTGTGCTGTGGTTTGTTTACATGCATGTGCTTTCACTGGGTTCATGGGATCTCCTTTGGTTGCTTACTGTCTGCTGGCTAGAAGAGCTGAGAGCTGCTGTAGGGTCACATCCCTCTGTCCTGGCCAGCAATGTCGGCACCAGGTCCCAGCTGGGTGCTTTCGGGAAGGTTTCCATGGGGCCCAGGGGCAGGAAAAGCCTGCTCTCATATCCGGGGCCGGCAGGAGAGCGATGACGTGGGCAGGGGGAGGTGTTCCCCTCTGCTGCACCTGTTGTGGGATGAGGAGGGATCTCAGCACTCCTTCCCAGCTTCTTGGGCACCGTGCTTCGTTCACTGGCTACGGGTGTTCTCTTGTCTATGTGCCTAACACCGGCTCCTCAGTGACAGGTTGGTTCAGCACTGACTGTGCATGCATGAAGGTTAATGGTGACCTGGGGGCTTGAGGAGGCACTGAGCGTGCCAGAGTGGTGGAAGGGCAGCGGGGAGCCAGAAAAAAGCCTCCAAATGCATTGGCAGGAGTGCCATCAGCAGTTACCTGCTTGCTGCACACACCCTGAATGCTGCCACGTGAAGTGAGAGTGTTGTTGCTCTTTTTCTATCCTTGGGATGGGTTTACCTACTGAGAGAAAACCCTGCACTAAGAGAGCTGGAGCAACAGGCAGGAGTTAGGGGCAGGGCAGAACACACAGGTAAGCAGCTGGCCATGCGTGGTCGTGGCAGCTTCTCAGAAACAAAAGCTGGACTTGTGGTTGCTTTGATTTGTTGTTTCTTTTGTTTGTTTGCTTCTTTTTTGCTCTAAGAGTTGGTGTTGGAAGATTGGCATCTGTGCAGCCATAGCAGCTTTTCTCATGCAGAAAACTGCTTAAATCTGGGGGGAAGAAGCCTTATTTGTGTTCTCAAATGCAGGTGCTTTTATAGCTGCTTGTCTTGGAGCGCCGTAGCAAGTCACTTCATAGAATCATAGAATGGCCTGGGTTGAAAATGACCACAGCAATCATCTAGTTTCAACCCCCTGCTATGTGCAGGGTTGCCAACCAGGCAGACCAGGCTGCCCAGAGCCACATCCAGCCTGGCCTTGAATGCCTCCAGGGATGCCTCCCCTGTCTCAGTTTAAAACCATTCCCCCTTGTCCTATCACTATCCACCCTCATAAACACCCATTCCCCCTCCTGTTTGCACTTGTAGGCTGCAAATGCTTGCTGGAGATATATAACCTTGTACTGCTGAGCACTGTAAACAACTCAGACAGGGCCTGCTGGGTGAATCCCTCGCACTCCTTCTTGCAGTGGTCTGCAGCTAGAAGTGGCTTTACTGAAAAAGGAAGCTGGAAAATCCATTCAAAGCATGCAAGCATTAGCTTCTCCTAGGTTCTTTTTGAAGTAAGTGTGCTCCTGTGTTTTGCTTTGATGCTCCCAAGATCTTTTTCAGGCTTCTTGCATCTCAAACTCACTTCAACACCCTGGTCCCTTCACTGTGGGCAGTAAATTCAGAGAATGGTGATGTGCCATCTGCTTTTTTAGTGTTCATAATTGAATAGGATTCAGAACCTGTGATGGAAAAGATAATGGAATTTGACTTGATTTTTGGCATTCTTTGAGTCAGCAATGCTGCTGCAGTCACAGAGAATTTGGTAGGTGATACCATGCTCTTTGTAGCTGGTGGGTGTGAAATCAAGAGGGAATTCCCTCTTGGGAAGTCTCTGGAGTTTGCTGTGTGGAGTTTGTGCCTGGGGAGTGTGTCTATCCCTCACTGTGCTCTCAGATACTAATTGATGTTCTTTTTTTCTGTTTGTAACAGGGCAGTGACCTCTCACCCTTGAGAACAGCATTTCTGGACCTGCTGACAGCCTCTGCCACTCAGCCGTACCTAGAACAATGTCAGGTGAGCAGGCAAAAATGGTTGTGATGCCTTCTTTGATGGCTTTCTCTTTCTTCATCTGCAGCATGGTAAAAGAAAGTTACTGATTCCAACAGCCGTTCTCTATGTTAACATACAGCTCTGCCTGAAATGGAGGGAGGGAGAGTGCCCAGCTCTTTATGATCTAGCAGCCTTTTTGCTCGGAGGAGTGCAGTTCCTTCTTCTACCCTTTGCTGAAGCCTTCAGATGCTGCTTCAGCCATTGAATTACAGAGAAAGGAGGAGGATGAAATGAAGTCTGCCTCCCCATTCTCATAAGACCTGCTCAGTTCTGTTCTCCCAGGACTTGCCCCAAAGTAGGTGGCTTGCTTATGACCTGAGAGATTTATTCAATAAATTGGTAGTTCTAGGACAGAAGAATTACTGGAGTTTGGCTGTGGGCTACCGAGTTACAAGTTTGGCTAATAGTAGGTCTCCTCCAGCACATCCCTCTTGCAGTGGAACTGTCCCACCCCATGTCTTTGCACCTTCCCTCCTGAGCTAGCTGCTTATTTCAGGGAAAACCCTAAGGGAGACTACTTCAAAGCCAGGTAAACCTTGGTGGTGGTGATGTGTACAATGGAAGACCTGGGATGTGCTTGTCTGCTTCAATTGCAGAACTCAATGTCTGCTTTCGTTGCAAGGGGCACAGTACCTCTGGGAGGGTGCTTGCCTTGCACACAGAACAGCAAGGTGATAGGCATACCTATGTTGCTGCAGCTGTCTGTGCATGATCTTGGCAGCCTTAGAGGGAGGGCAGCAACATCCCAGCCCTTCAGCAGCAAAGGGAGCAGCTGAACATATTACTGAGGGCTCTGGTGTCCTGTTTTGTTGCCTGGCTGACACAGTTTCAGGGCAGTCTGGAGTGCTGCTGAGTCAATGTCAGTGTCTCTATAGGAGGCATTTACTTCATAAATCTGTTTAATGGTTGCCTTCACTTGGCACAGCTTTTCCAAGAGGAACGATCGCATGATGCCACAGAATGATTTCTGTTCCCCAGAAGTCCGTTTGTTAGAACTCAGTTTGGCCATTCTGCTTCTTTTGCTTGGTAATAAGGGTTCAAACCTTCTAAAATTATTTACCTCCTTGGTGATGTGGAAGCTGTCACAGTGTCTAGAAGTAATGACTAGATGCCAATATCTGGAGTAGAGACTTCTGCATAAATCCTTACCTTGCTGGAGCAGTCTGTACTGAGTGTCCCGGGTTCTCACTGCTGTATGTTGCTCTCTTTGTGTTTAGGCCATCACACTCCCTCTGCTGGGGGTCCCTTCTCAGCACTCACACCCAGCATTTGGCCGCAGGAGATCCTGGCGAAATACACACAGGTACAGTGTTGGGCAGGATGGGGATGTTCTCTGGATCTGCACAGAAATAAAGAGACCCTGGTGATTTCAGGTCGTCTCTGAATGCTGTAAGGAAGAGGCGGGGATGCACTCTTCCTCCAGTGGTTCACTTGGGGGCACTCGTTTGCTATTTAAACTTCATTTGTTTTGTGGCTGCGTCCTGGCTCTTGCAAGAGGATCTTGCAGAGCATACAGAAATTTCTGTGAATTATTGCTCTGCTATTTTGTAACTATTGCTCCCCTGTAAAAAATGTTGACACTCCAAGGGAGTCTCTGTCACCATCAAGCTACCCTGGACAGCTTGCGCATGGCAGGAAATGCTAGCCCCAAGGCTTGCCTCCAGGTGGGCAGAACAGGAAGGAAGGAAGCAGATATGGAATTTTGTAACCTAACCCTCAGTGTTTGCTGAAGGCAAGTGAGCCCAGAGAAGGAGGCTGAAGCTTATTTTGGAGCTATGCTAGAAGTGTGTTTCTTTGGGGCTGCCTGGGTGCAATGCTTGCAAGACCCCACAGGAAGGGCAGGTGGGCCAGCAGGAATCAGAGGCATCTGTAGGTATTCACTCCTTACAAAAGCCTAATGATCATAACCACTAGTGCCAACTATGAACGCAGGTAGAAGAAGCTGAGAATTAAACTGAATTTCCTTTGGCCTCTAATTTGGGCTTGTCTCACAGATCCAAATCCCAGTTTTTTTCTGCTGTCTTTCAGAGTAAACTTGAAAGCAATAGGCAGGATGTGGGGCACTGCAGGGAACTGAATTTGCAGTGTGTGCACTCTAGGTTACAGAGGACTACTGTGTCTTAGAGTTGCAGCCAGTAGGGCCCAGTGTAGATGATGTGTGGATTCCTCAGTCCATGAGGAGGACTGTCTGCCCTTTCAGATGGGGAAGTCTTCGTTGTGATACGGTGCTGCAACTCAAGTAGTTGTACCAAGAGATTGTGCAGCTGGGAAAGCAGAGCTTCACATCTTCCATATAGAAGTCAAAATGGGGGCAGCATGCAACACCTCCCCAGCTGGGAATTGTGGAGGAAGGCATCAAAAATAAAGGTGAAGGGTTGCAGTTGCTCAGAGGGCACAGTGCAGGCAGTGTAAGATTGGGCGATATTCACTTGTCTCTGTTCAGTTGCTCAGTGCTGGAGTGGTAAGAATGTCTCTTCTTCCTTATATCTCCCAGAAAGAAGAATCCATTGAGCAGCCAGAGTTCCGCTATGATGAATTTGGTTTCCGAATTGATAAGGAAGGTAAAACCAGTCCCATCTCTCTCCCTTTCAGTTTGTGCTGCATGGGGCCTTGGGCAGAATGATTTTGCAACCACTGTGTGCTAGGTTTCATCTATTCAGATGTCAACTTCTTTCCATATACTACCATTGTTACTAAGGGCCATGCATCAGTTGAGCTGGCCTTGTGGAATAAATACGCAGCAGAGTCCTTTCCATCGCCTTATGTCTGTGGCATAGGTGAGGAAGAGATGGAAGTGAAGAGGAAGCTGCCATTTCCATTAGTGGTGCACTGGGAGAGGCAGCTCTGCTGGCTCACAGCAGGCTTCTGCTGTGGTCAGGAGCACTGAGCACCAATGGCAGGCACAGTGCCACATGCTGCCTATGGAAAGCTCTCAGGCGAGTGGCAGCAGTTTGTGTTCTACACATCCCAGCATCTTGGCAAAGTGTAGAGCAATCTGAAGGGGCAGAACCCACATCCTAGTTTTTCTGCAAGATTCAGAGGCAGGAGGCCAAACAGAAGAGAGCTATGGCAGTTGGGCATTGAACAGCACAGCTTGCTGCCTTTGGAAAGATGAAGAGAAAGGACTGCTGGATGGGGGAATTGCTTTATGTGCTCTGAGAGGAGATTTCCGGATCTCAGGCCGTACAGTGGGGGGGGCAGAACTTTTTTGCCTGTGGTGCCCTAAGACTCTACAGTCCTAGAGGACTTTCTTGAAGCAGTAACCTAGAGATGAGGACAGGACAAAGAGACTGATTTCATTCAGCCAAACCATTTGATAGACTTGTGCATTATAAAGTCAGCAGAAAGATTTGGATGGTGTTGTTGAAAATCTGCTATGTGGTGAAGAATGGAGTGCCTTATGTCAAACCTATATTGTGCTAATGTATCTATTTTAGAAAGCTAGCCTCAGGTTAAGGTACTCTCTCATTGGGAATTGGGCAGTGTTCTTATTAAAGATTTTTTTTTTAATGAATAGGTAGCCCCAGAGTTAACATTTTGTGCCTCATTACTTGCATGAACATACAGCTTTCTGCTTGTCACCTCTGAGGCCTGCTATGCTTTTGTCAGCTTGATTTACAGATCCTCACAAAACCCAGCAGGATAGCTGCTGCCAGGGTCTTGTTGAATTCCAGCCGCACTCTGCTGTAAATCATGTGTAAGCAGAGCCTGGGCCTGCTGACAGCTTCTTGGTTCTTAAGGCTCCAGTGCCTTTTGCTTACGATCACAACGTTTGCTGCATAGAGAAGACAGTTAGAAACCAAGCTTTGCCTTCCCATGCTCTGGCTGGAAGACCTGAAAGTTTTTACGTGCTTTTATCAGATGGCTGTCCTACTCTCCACCCCGCCCTATGTTTGTTCCCTCTCTCACTTGTCTCCATTTCATTCCCTTCCCTTTGCTGAGGCAGATGGTGCTGAGCCAAACTCCAGCAAACTTCTGGGGCTCCCGCTGATAGAGGAGCCACAGCAGAGGCTCAAGTGGCAGGCTCATCTGGAATTCACACACAACCACGACGTGGGTGACCTCACCTGGGACAAAATTGAGGTCAGCCTCCCACATTCAGACAAACTGCGCTCCCTGGTGCTGGCTGGCATCCCACACAGCATGAGGCCGCAGGTGAGAGACAGCGGGCTGACCTTCCTGCCTGTGGGAAGAGACAGAGAATTGAGGCCACCCTGTCGTGGTTGAGAAGGTGCCAGGCCGTGGCTTTCTGGGGCTGGTTTAGTGACTCCTATTGCTGTTCACTCTGTCCCCACAGCTGTGGATGCGTCTGTCTGGGGCCTTGCAGAAGAAGAGAAATTCAGAGATGTCATATCGTGATATTGTGAAAAACTGCTCGAATGATGAAACCATTGCTGCCAAGCAGGTGAGAGATGCTGCCTAGTGCTGACTGGGCGTAAGGGAGTGGGGAGAACAGCAAGATTTGCTGCATGAAAAGGAAGGGGTGTCTGCCTGACACCTGCATCAGGGACAGCTGAAAGGATGTGTAATTGAATCCCACCAAAGGTTAATCTTACTGGGCATTTATCTGCTTTGTTTGTTGGAGTAGAAGCTGTGCAGATCCCCCACTTCCTAGGGAAGAGGTTTAACCTCTGCTACCTGCAGGCTAGATTACCACACGGCAGTTTCATCTGGGCAAGTTCCTGACACTAAATGAGGCAGAGGGTGAAAGAGTAATAGATGTGCTTCCACTGAGATAGCAACGGAGGGAAGGACAACTCTGCCCAGGGGTAGCTGTGGGCTGTTCACCTCCAAGTCCCCCACCGCAGGTGTGGCCACATTGTTGGTTTCTCACCAACAATGAATAAGCATGGTGAGAATCCTTGCTTGAAATCCAAGCAGATGAAATTCCCAGCATGCTTACTGCAAGTGGAGAAACTAGGGGCTGAGTGGAGGCAAGTTTTTCTAGGGAGTCACCAAGTTGTCATCTGACTTGTTTTTCACATATTAACAAAGGATATTAAATTAACCCCAGCTGCTTGAACAGTGCCATCTTCTTTGATGCCTAAAGACTTGGGTGTAGGGAAGCAGAGCTCACTGAGAGCAAAAGGCAATTATTCAAATGCTGCTAACTAACCCTTTCCTTGCTTCTGGCTGTCTGACAGATTGAGAAAGACCTGCTCCGCACAATGCCCAGCAATGCCTGCTTCTCCAACATGAACAGTATTGGGGTGCCACGGCTACGCAGGATACTACGGGGACTTGCCTGGCTCTACCCGGAGATTGGCTATTGCCAAGGCACTGGCATGGTAACCTGCTTTAATAGTGCTTTTGTGATAGGGATTGTTCTGTAGCTACTTTGGGGTAAGTGATTTGAGGTAATGCTGCCAGATGCTGTGACCTCCAGACTAGCTGAGGGGAAATCCTTTTCACACAGAACATATTGCTTGAGGAGGGTGGAACAGAGTAACACCGCGTGTCCAAAGGTGTGCAATAATTTGGTTCCTCTGTGGGGGAGGAACTGGTGTTACACTGCACAGAAATCTCTTCCCTGGGAGAGACTGCAGTAGAGCTGCTGCAGAGGAACGAAGACATTGGTCTTATAGACACTGGACCATGTGAGGAGATGGGGAAGGAGTGCTACTGTTAGGACAGGCTTGGCATATAATCTTCCTTCAAAATCCTAGGTGGCTGCTTCTCTGCTGCTCTTCTTGGAGGAGGAAGATGCCTTCTGGATGATGTGTGCTATCATTGAGGAACTGGTTCCCGCCTCCTACTTCAGTACCACCCTGATGGGGGTGCAGACAGACCAGCGCGTCCTGCGACAGCTCATTGTACAGTACCTACCCCGTCTGGACAAGCTGCTCCAGGAGCATGACATTGGTAAAAGTGTGCCCATGGCTCCTCTGGGTGGTGTGCAGGCAGAGATAACTGCCCTTGTTTCACAAAGGGAGAGCAGCAGAGCTAGGAGCAAACCTGGCCCTGGAGGCCAGGGCAGTGCAAGGTCATCTGTAAGCTGGGAGGGCAGCACTTAGGACAGTCTGTTTCTGCTGGTTAGCTGACATCCCATCGTGATTCCTTTGTATGTCTCTATTCACAGAGCTGTCCCTGATCACCCTGCACTGGTTCCTCACCTCCTTCGCTAGTGTTGTCCACATCAAGCTGCTGCTGCGCATTTGGGACCTCTTCTTCTATGAGGGTTCTCTGGTGCTGTTCCAGCTCACTTTGGGCATGCTCAGTATGAAGGTAGCACTACCACCACTTCCTTCTTTATAGCACTTCAGTATTTGACTGCAAGATTGAGATGCAACAAGGCTTGCTGTATGTGGTCTGGGAGTGTGCAAGGGAAGATGACTCCTTGCTTTCCTCAGAAGTGGAAGCCGTGAAAACTTCCAAGGTGCTTTGCAGATTCAGGGATTGCTGTTTTCCCTGCTTACTTCATTTGATCCCTCATAATTAAGCCCCATCAGCTGCTCCCTCTGCTCACTCTAGATCCCAACCTGAGAATGCATCCTATTTAAATCAAAATGTCTCTTGGTTTTGCACTGTCTCTATGACTCAAAAACATGCCAGGTGGAGTTTTGGGAGCAGATCTCAGTGCAGTAGTAAAAAATTGCTGTTCTATTCCCAGAGCTAGCCTGCATTTTTTTTCTACCAAAGTTTTTAATGTAATTTCATAGCTTTACCTGCATTGTTTCTGGCCTGGGCAGTACACTGAAAGTAGAGTCGAATCTAGCAGCTTCAGGAGCATAACTGTCACGCTCACTGTTCTGTGTGGAAAAACAACTGCATCTTTGCAGGAGGATGAGCTAATCCAGTCTGAGAACTCTGCCTCAATCTTCAACACGCTCTCGGACATCCCAAGTCAGATAGAAGATGCAGATGTGCTGCTGCGGGAAGCCATGCGCGTGGCTGGCTCACTGACAGATGTGGCGGTGGAGACCCAGCGTCGCAAACACTTGGCCTACCTCATTGCTGACCAGGGGCAGCTGCTCAACTCCAGCACCACTGTCAACAATTTATCCAAAGTGAGCGCTCTGAATTCTGTCTGCCTCCACTGCTCTGTTTTTACCACTCTGTATTTCAACCAACTGCTGTTTGCGGGCAAGAGGTCCTCCTGTCTGAGAGGACGTCGGCTCTGTCACCCAGAGAAAAGGTGTTGGCAAGAGAAGGGAAGGCCTGTGCTAATGAAATGCTGCTGACTCTGTCCTGATTGATAAATCCACAGATGAAAGGAATGTTGATGTCAATTGTGATTATCATTAATGAGAGTAATGATGGAAAGCATTACATTTCATTAATGAGAAATCATAAAAGAAGCAGCACTCACTTTTGGCAGAATTTGCTTGGCACTAACGTAAGCGTACAGCAGAGTGGGACCTGGGATTAATCCATTAGTAAGAAACTGACGTGCTGAAATAATTCCGGAAAGTAGAGTGCAGTGGCCTTTGAGAAGCTGAATAAGAAATGCATCTGTGTTTAGTCATAGATCACAGTCTGCAGTTGCAGATGTAGTACCTCCTGTTCGTCAAGCCTGCATAAAACATATCTTCTTGACGCTCGTCTTAGTGCTTATCACCGGGCACTCCTGCAATCCCAAAATGTAATAAGCAGCCACTTAGAAATTTAAATACAGTTATGTGTGGAAGTGCTTCTGGCAACAGGTAAAATTAAAACTGAAATTATTCAATTGAATCAGAGTTGATTATTGAACTTCATGTATGCTTTTGTCATAATTGAGCTATAAATAACCCACTGCACATGGAGCAGAGCAAGCAATAGAGCTGATTCATTGCACTGGAACAAGAACAACTCTTGTATAAAATTGCAAAGTCACTTGCCTGCCCCTTGCAATGTTAGCTATCACAGAATCATAGAAGGGCCTGGGTTGAAAAGGACCACAGTGATCATCTAGTTTCAACCCCCTGCCATGTGCAGGGTCACCATCCAGCAGACCAGGCTGCCCAGAGCCACATCCAGCCTGGCCTTGAATGCCTCCAGGGATGGGGCATCCACAGCCTCCTTGGGCAGCCTGTTCCAGTGTGTTACCACCCTCTGATTGAAAAAAAAAAAACCCTATCAGAATCCCTTGCTCAAACCCAACCAGTGTGGAGGATTATTTCATTTACTAAACTTACAAAAGTTTGTGCACTTTGTTCTCTCCTTCTCAGATCGTGCGGCGCAGGACTCAGCGCAGGAAATCTGGCATCACCTCTCTGCTTTTTGGTAAGGACAGTCCTGTGCTTTTCATGCGGTGTTGATGGATCAAGCAGCCATGAGGGGTGGGAGATGCAGGACAAAGGAAAAGAAGAGAAGGGAGCCACAACTGAAGGATGAGCTGGAAGAAGTGTAGCTTTCTGTTTGCTTGCTTTGACCTGATCTTAGGAGGTGCATTTTGGATTAGTTAGTTGGTCCTTAACTGGTGACTTACCGTGGATGAGCTCTTTGCACTGGCTAGACATTTGAACATACTTTCTACTAAACTGTATGCAGTCCATGGGCTGTGTGCTGTACTCCCCTGAAGATCCCAGACCAGGCAGGATGGCTTGATGTATAACTCATCAAGATTCATAAGTCAAAATTTATAACTGCAGGTATCACTGATGCTCCATGCACTGATTTTTCCATGCCTACTCTGAGAGCTTCACAGTGTGGACATTTTTGATTCTTCTCATTGCTTATGAGCTAACCCAGCCAATGTCCAGAAAACGCACAGCCAGCATAGATTTAAAATAATGTAATTCTGTGGCTTCATAATAGCCCTTCCTGTTGAAAATCTCTCTGTCGTCACCTTCCTTGCAACTGGTTAGCTGTCTTGAAATTGCCACATCTCACCACAGAAATTGTTTTTCTGGGGAAAGAAAATGTACCAAATTTACAGGATTTTAAAAAAATCTCCTGTTGTTGTAGTAGCCTGAAAAAATCTAAAACTGTGTTCTGCTGGTCTTTTCAGAGAAGAGCTTTTCTGATGATGTCTGAGCAGCTCATGGGCCATCAGAGGCTTGCTTAGATGCATGTTTATACATAACGCTGTACATGGTAGTGCAAGGCCAGTGAAGCTGTTAAGAAGTGAAGAAATGCAGGCAGGTTGCTTGTTCAAGCTATGCTCTCATAGCTCTTATGTGTAATGCTATCATGCAGGCAGTATAGACTATATCTGTAGGGAGCTTAGCTGCCAAGCACATCTTCCTTGTGTCTCAGTTTCCCCTTGGCTTAAGTTTGAGCAGCTTTTGAGCAGCCCAGAGCCACATCCAGCCTGGCCTCGAATGCCTCCAGGGATGGGGCATCCACAACTTCCTTGGGCAACCTGTTCCAGTGCATCACCACCTCTGAGTGAAAAACTTCCTCCTAATATCTAACCTGAACCTCCCCTGTCTCAGTTTAAAACCGTTCCCCTTTGCCCTATCACTATCCACCTCCATAAACAGCCGTTTTCCCTCCCCTTTTCCTTTTGGATGGGCATTGCAACAAGGCGATGCATGAGAGTTAACCCTCCTCTGCACAACTATGCAGCTCATGAGGCTTTGCAGGCTCAAAATAGAGCCCTGTCATGCAGCTGATTTCATATTCGTTTCCTGCTTTTGAAACATATGTGCAGGCATGTCAGGTGCAGCGAGGTGTATCTGCTGGTAACCCCAGCCACTTCCTTTTGTGTTACATATATTTGAAGGGGGGAAAGGTATAAAACTTTCTTCCTGTCTCTCCTGCTCGTGTTTGGGTGGGATTCCTCTGGACATGGAAGGAGAAGCACGGTATTTTGGCCAGAAGGGACTAAATGATGAAATTGCATTATCTGAAAATGAGGGCAGCCCACTGAGCTAGCGTGGATGTGGTTGAGCAGTTTCTTCTTTAGTCACCTTCTGTTTTAGCAACGTTAATCTTCCGCCCTCTGAGCGATCTGTTTCCAGTCCACCTCTTTGAATCTGTCACGAGGCTTCTTGCACACTCTGTGGCCACTTACAGGGAGGTTTTGGTTAATTTTCATTGCTTGGACTGGGACTTGGTGTGTCTTATTTCTGGTCCGGAAACAAAGTTCAGGTTTTTTTTATGCTCTCTGTATCTAAATCTGATTCTCATAATATATATAATCAGTAGAAAAGAATCAAAAATAATTTAAAATCTAATCCTGTGCTTCCAGTTATGTTCCTAAAGTTTTGGTCTTTTTAATTAGTATCACTTGAGATTAAAAGATACAGTTCATCACTCTTCATAAAGCAGGAGCTACTCTTCATGCATACACAGCTATATTGCTCATTCTTTTCATCCTGTTTTCTGCAATGCTGTTAGAAGGCAAGCAGTGTAGTAGTTTGCTAGCCACTAGTTTACTAGGGATGTATAAAAATGCCATTTATATAAAAACTGGAGTTCATGGAAGAACACATTGTTTTAAATGCCAATTTTGTTAATCAAACTACCAATTCTTCAGTATATTACAGAAAGCAAAAGTAGATAGTGAAATTGCACTTTGAATTAAAAACAAAAGCTGGATCCTTTCTTTTAGGAAAAAAAGAGCAAGTGGTTCATTATGCCCAAACTTCAGGTGCCCAATAAAGACTGGATATGTTAACTGTCTAAAGAACCAATACCAGTAGGTATCTATAAATAAGTAGATACTAGCTGTCACTGCTCCTGTGGGATTAGTGAAAGTTGGAAGATGCTTTGGTAACTTTTGTCTTGTACTTGTGACCCTTCTATATACCAAAATCTTTGAAATGTGTCTGTTAGAGGGGCTAAGATCTCAGATGGAGGCTTGTCTCTTGTGGCTCTCACTTTTAGACTGACAGAAGAGCTGTCTTGGTTTTTCACTTTTTTCTCAAGTTTCAGTGAAGAAGATGCTCTCATCCTGTAGGCAAAAATTAGAAGTAGTTGAAAGCCGTTTCAGTGTAAAGAGAATTTCAGTTCATGACAATTTTTGGAAGTTTTTTAGGTTTGAGTCCAACCATTCAGCTGCTTCTGTATACTATGCAGGCACTGCTCTGAAACAGTAGAGCAGCACTGTGGCATGGTGAGTTGCTCAGAAAGATCAGAGTTGACATCCTTCAGCTCCATATGTGCTTGGAAATAAAACTTGAAACAGTCTTGTTGCTACTTCTTATGTACACTACTGAACAGATTGGCAGTAAGCACCTACCTTAATGTAGGCAATTCTAAGTCAGGCTTGTTTGATTTCTGTAGAACTAATGATTTCTAATATTGATAAAAAATATCTCGTACTTGTTTTCCCTTCTGCATTTTCCCTCTGGCTGTGTGGGCTCCACCAGGAGATGAGGACTTGGAGGCACTGAAAGCCAAGAACATCAAGCAGACAGAGCTGGTGGCCGACCTTCGTGAGGCCATTCTCCAGGTGGCACGGCACTTCCAATGCGTGGATCCCAAGAACTGCAGCATTGTGAGTGGGAGCTGCTGGGTGCTCCTGGAGCGGGTGGGCTTGAGGGAGAATGCATCAGGTGTAACAGATGGAGGGTGAGGGTTGCTCAGCCCTTCTCCAGTGCAGGAAGGCTGTGCTGGGAAGTTGCCTTCCTGTGAGGAGGAGAGTTTGGGAACAAGGGCCAAATGCTTTGGTAGATGAGCTGAGTGTAGATTCGTGGGCACGTTTGAGTTGGAACGGACCTTTAAAGGTCATCTATTCCAGCTCTCATCATCAGTTGTTTTTCATTCCTCTGCTCTGTGTCCGTGTGCTTGCCAGGATCTGACTCCAGACTACAGTATGGAGAGCCACCAGCGGGACCATGAGAACTACGTGGCCTGTTCCCGCAACCGGCGGCGCCGTGCCAAGGCACTGCTGGACTTCGAGCGTCACGATGACGACGAGCTGGGCTTCCGCAAGAACGACATCATTACGGTATGCCAGCCTAGGGGAGAGGCACCGGGCCACGATCGTGCAGTCCAACTTGTTTGGGATTCTACACTGCCTCTTCTGTGGGGAAACAAGGGAGGAGATGAGCTCAGAGCCCAGTTAGGAGTCCGAAGCGAAGCAGCTGCCTGGGGATGAGGCAGTGTGTTCCTCTGAATGTTGTCGTGTGTTGTCTTGTCCCAATGCAACTGCAGAGTCCCTTTCCTGGCTGCCACACAGCTGAGCCAAAGCTAGATTTAGTCCAATCTGTGCTCCAATTCAACACCACGTACCAGGTTGTGGTAAGACTAAAAGCATCCATTTTGTCTTTTAGTTGTGGGCATCCCATCTGGAACTTAGAAAAACAGGCATGGAATTGTGTTTCCAGTAGCTTTTTGCTGTTGAAGGCCCAGAAGCATGTGAGAAGGGAGCATTGACAAAAGAGCTGAAAAGAAAGCAGTTAATCATTATGCACCCACAGTCAGGCAGCTGTAACCTTCCTGGCACTGCACATGCTCCTGTGGGGATGGATTTCTGTTTCCCACTTTCATTTCTGTCTGCTTCAAGTCACTGACACTCTTTCCAACTGCTGTTTTCCACTCCCTGTTTTTTCAGATCATTTCCCAAAAGGACGAGCACTGTTGGGTTGGAGAGCTGAATGGACTGCGAGGTGAGAGAGCAGGACAAAGCTGTTGTTACTGGGAGTAACAGGGCGGGATGCAAAGCATGCATTCATCCACAGCAACTGTGCTGGCATATTTTAATAAAAAGCACTGCCATTCACTCAGAGGAGCTGCCAGGGACCAGGGGAATATTCCAGCAGGGTATGAGGGTGGTGGTTGCAGCTACATGCTTGCTTCTTGCAAACAGCAAGGTTAGGCTGCATCCTCCTGTCACAGTGTGGTTGGGTGCACATCATCTCTGCTGTTTGTGGGCAGCATCCAGCAATAGGTTTCTTCTTGCAGTTGCCTTAATTCTGGTGATTTTCTGGCTGCTCGCTTCCTTTTTGGGCTTGGACTTCATGAACTCTGATTTATTCCCAGCCTTCACTGGGCTCTCATCTCCCTTAGACAGAATTCTCAGTGTCTGTGGTAGGCTTATGTCTTTGTCTTCGTAGGTTGGTTTCCTGCAAAATTTGTGGAGATCCTGGATGAGAGGAGCAAAGAGGTAATTAAAAATATATATATATATATTAAAAAAGGTGATGTCATAATTGAAAAGAGCCATGTATTCCCTCTTTGAGTGTGTTTGCTCTCTCTGGCTACTGAGCAACTTGGTGATGTTATCAGCTTATTTTCCTAGGCCTGTTTGCTCAGTTTCCTGAGGCTGGCCACGCAGACAGCACAGGCTGTGGGGGGAGTTGAGTGCAGTGTGGGCTAGCAGGGCCCTCAGAGACCAGCTTTGAGAAAGCAGAGAAAGCAAAAGGCAAGCACACAGCAGGATCCTGTGGTCAGTTGGTCAGTGTTTCTGCCTGCTTCCTACTGCCTGTATTCTCTTCCTCCTCTGAGGTTATTCCTGCAAGTCCTGGTGTTCTGTGGTCACCACAGGGTATGGTCCAAGTAGCTGCACCCAAAAGAGCACTGTCTTGGTTCCTCTTGTGACCAGCAGCAGTGAGATGCCAGCTGTTTAGAGCAGATGCCTCACTGTGGCCCCAAGGTTACTGATAGGAGATAAATATCATCAGCTGTTGGCCTGTGCAATTTGCAGAAGTGGAGAAAAATCTGTCCTGCTTTTCCTCTTCACCATTTGGAGAGTGAGGAGTGGCTCAAAGGCCGACCTGAGACTCCAAGTGAAGCCCTTAGTTAGATGTCATCATTGACATCTCACTTGCTTCCTTCACTCCCCTTCTCTGGGCTGGTTCCATAAATGCATGTCACGTATCTCTCTGTTTATCAACGGTGCTGCTGAACAGCTCTTCTCCCAGATGAGGATTCCATTTATTTTAATCCTGACATGTTACTGTTAGTCCTTCGGGATAGCAGTGTGTCAGTGTGATACCTTTGAGTGATACACCAGCTGACCTGGGAATTCTCACGTACCCCTATTTATCCTGGCCTTTAGCAGCTGACAGAGTCCCAGGAGCCCTCACTGCTTGTCCCAACCTTACCTTAGCTTGGACAGCATCACATCAAACTGCAACAGTTCCTCTGTGCTGAATGCTGCCAGGATGGTGCTGGTGTCACTAGTATCATGTCCAACATCTAAGCACAAAGGTGCTGGTGTCCCAGCACATCCCAGGGGACCAGCACTGGCACCTTCTGCAAGAGCCAGCAGGAACATAGGAGGCTGAGGAAAATAGGGCGTACCTGGGAGTGGAGGACTGGAATCAGCTGTGAGCTGCTCCATGAGCAGTCTGCTGAGAGCTGATTCTCTGTGTTCATCAGTACTCCATTGCTGGAGATGACTCGGTCACAGAAGGGGTGACAGACTTGGTGCGAGGGACGCTCTGTCCTGCCTTGAAGTCCATATTTGAACACGGATTGAAGAAGCCATCGCTGCTGGGGGGTGCCTGCCATCCTTGGCTTTTCATTGAAGAGGTGAGATGTCTCAGTTCCTTTCATGGAACAGTGCTGTTGGAGGGATGGGGTGAAGGGGCAGCACGGCAATGTGTACTGACTGTCCCTATGCCCTTCTAGGCTGCAAGCAGGGAAGTGGAACGGGACTTTGACTCTGTGTATTCTCGCCTCGTGCTCTGCAAGACTTACAGGTAAGGCCACTTCTTTCATAGCAAGCATCAGTGTCTGTGCCCTGCTCCTGTCTGTCTGCCAAACTGCTGCTGCTTACCACCATAGGAAAGGTCATGGTCTGCCCCAGCCTTCATGTGTGTGGTGTCAGCAGGCTGCCATGCCTTTGCTGACTTGGGGCTGACTTTTGCCCTCTTTCTTGGGTTCCTGCATTTGCATCTGGGGTCATACTTTGCTCTCACAGCTGTGTGATCACCTGTGGGCTCAGCACAAGCAAGGGAGCTGTCACTATTGGGATTTGGAGGGGCCTGCATGTGCCCAGGGGTGGTTCTAGCTTTTTTTCTGTAATCTTTTCAGGCTGGATGAAGATGGCAAAGTCCTCACTCCAGAGGAGCTGCTTTATCGGGTGAGTGCTGCCCCAACCCAGGCAGAGCCCAGCTGGTAACACAGGGATGTTTACCATGGGAGCTGCTTGGAGGGTGATGCCCTTCTCCACGGAGATGCTTGATTTCCTTGGTGGTGTGAAGACACCAGGTGCTTGGAGAAAGGCAGAAAATGGAACTGTCAGGCAGTCTCAGCCCCTCTAATGCTAGCAGGTGGTGCTGGGTGAAGGTGGGGAGCTCTTGGGAGGGCAGCACTTGGCTGTGCTGCTGACATGGCTGCTCAGCCCAGCTTAAGGTGAAGCTGTGACCAGGTGGTAACCACATCTTCCTGCCTTCCAGGCAGTTCAGGCTGTGAACATGACGCACGACGCTGCACACGTACAGATGGATGTGAAACTTCGTTCCCTCATCTGCGTTGGGCTCAAGTGAGTAACCCAGACCTGTCACCTTCACACTGTGGGTACTCGGTGCTCGGGAGGGAGCAAAACAGGCCTGTGGGCAGCAGTTGCTTCCATCTACCTTAGGCCATGCGGACTTCCCCTCTCACTTCAGCCACTGAGTGGTATCTGCTCCTTTCTTGCTTGTCATGGTGGCCCACATAGATTTACCTGGGGCATCCTCCTCCTGCTGGGGCTGAAATTAGGCTGTCCCAAAGGGACAAAGCTTCTTTCCCTAGTTTCAGCCCAGTAACAAACCTCTGCCTCATCACTGCAGCGAACAAGTGCTACATTTGTGGCTGGAGGTGCTGTGTTCAAGCCTGCAGACCGTGGAGAAGTGGTTTCATCCCTGGTCGTTCCTGCGCAGTCCTGGGTGGGTCCAGATCAAATGTGAGCTGAGGTAAGTCTGTTCCTATGGGTCTTGCATGGATTTCCTCCTGCCCTGTGTGGAGGTGGCCCTCACCACAGCTGGGTTTGAGCCCTCACCGGATAGCAGTAGCTTTGGCTGTCCAGACATCCCCCCCTGCAGAGATCTCTCTCTGTGTGCTGAGGCAGCAGTGACCGTCTAGACAGTTTAATGGATGCACAGTGCCTGCTTGATTAAGGTCAGAACCTGGCTTCTGGGGAGCTGTCATGATGAACATGCAGGATCTTCCTGACAGCAGCCTCCTCTGGGCCAGCCAAAAGCAGATCAGCCCCACAGCTGCTCCACTGAAGGTACTACCTTGTCCATCTCTGCCCTTCAGCCCCCTCTGCCAGTCACAATGGTTCCCAGCAGGAGCATCTATAGTAGGGAGCAGACCCGTGTGCAGCCCACACCTAAAGGTGCCCTGCTCCTGGTGCTACTGTGGGTAGGAGTTCCCTTCACCTCTGTGCTGCAGTGAGCCTGAGGCTGCTTGCTCACAGCACGGCGCGGTGGGACTGGTTCTTGGCTGAGTTGGGGCTCATTAGGAGCGGGAGCTGAGCTTTGTACCATTCTCCTTCCTGCCTTCATTCTCTGGAGGATCTTGGACACTCTGCAGCTGCAGGTGTTGGAGAATATTCTTGTCAGATATTCTCCTGAGCCTGGAGGACACTGACAAGTTTGGCAGCTGAACTCTGCATCTGTCTTCAGGGAACCAGCTAGAAACATCCCCATGCAGCACATGTCCATAGGGGTCAGGATGCCCCTCTTACTTTAGGGAGTGAACAGTGAGTGTAAAATCTTGGAGATGCTGCTGATAGCAGTCAGCTTTCTGGAGAGAAACCTACATGTGTCTGCAGCTTAGCAGAGCCATGGGGCTGCCTGCACTTCCCTGCATTGTATTGTCAGGCTCTATAGGGGTTGCACTTGAGTCACATTTCTAAGCTGCTCTTCCCAGCCCGGGCCTGGCAAGATGCAAAGCCCTAAGTACAGGAGGAAACTGGCCACAGATGGCTGGTGCTGCTTTTTTGGTGCCAAAAAAAAGGCTCTCCACCCCTATGAAACTGAGCAATTTTCCAGGGCAAGCTGAGGAGCAGTTGTGTAGCTGGGGCAGCAGCTCTGGATGTGTGCATTACTACCACTCTTTTCCATTTCAGAGTGCTCTGCAAATTTGCCTTCAGCCTGTCTCAGGACTGGGAGCTGCCAATAAAGAGGGAGGTGAGTAGGCAGCATTGCTCCTCTTCTGGGCAGGGGGCTTCGCTTAGCACCTCTCCTCACTATCTGGTGCTCCAGCTCATCCTGGAACCAGCTGTGGATGGAGCTGTTTTCTTTAGCGATGCCCAGAATAGGTGGCAGGGCACTGCCCACACAGCTGGGGCAGAGGGAAGTGGCAGCCCCTCCCTTCCTCCCTGCTCTCCAAACCGCAGGGCCTCTCCCTGCTTCAGCTGGGGTGGTGGGAAGTGCAGGCAGCTCTGCTGGGTGCCTTGGCTGCCTGGGCCCTGCTTGTCTGGATGCGTCCCTGCTTGTCTGGATGCAGTGCACTGACCCAGGTCTCTGTGCCTCCTTGCAGGAGAAGGAGAAGAAGCCACTGAAGGAAGGCGTGCAGGACATGCTTGTGAAACACCACCTCTTCAGCTGGGACATAGATGGGTGACCTCCACCCTCCCCCTGCCCCGGGAACCTTCTCAGTGGCCTGCACTCCTCTCCCCAAGCCCCATCATCTCACATCCCCTTCCTTCCCTACCCCACACTTGTATCTGTGACAAAATCCCCCTCGGGGGGCTGCGAGGCTACCCGGGACCGATGCAGCGTGGCCTTGTGGCACTGCTGCCAGACCCGAGGGAGGTGATGGTCGAGGCTGATGCTGCACAGGGACATCTGTGTTCTGACCAGAAAAATGAGTGCCCCCTCCCAGCCTTCCCCACTTCTGCCACCCCCATTTCCCTGGGGAGAGGGGCTGCAGGCCCAGCCACTGTGTGCCAGTGTTTCCAGTGCTACCGTAGCTGTGGGGCAGAGGCAATCCTTGTGGGATGGCTTTGATCCGTGGAGGGTGGCACTGCAGATGCAGGTGGAATAGAGCTGGTGAGGGACTTAATGCTGTGTGGAGCAGGGATGGCAGGCACCCCACCTCGTGCCATCCGAGGGCTCACGTCCAAAGGAAGGGGGAGGGCAGAACCTGAAGCACTTGGATGGGGTCGCCCGACGTGGAGTCAGGGCAGAGAAGGGGGAACTGATATCAGCCTCATCCCACTTCTCTGGCACTGGTGTGTGGGATGTTGACATGAGGTGCTGGAGAGCACCACTCTAACAGCCCTAGGGGACAGGCTTTGTCTCCTCTGGGAGCAGACAAAAACCAACACTCCTGTAGAAAGAGTGTTTCATGCTATCATTTTAGTCTCTACGTGATTTTTACTGTTAACCAAAAAGCTGTAAATTAACTCCGAGAACGTGTGTATATTTTGGCACTGTCGTAGCTCAGGATGGGGTTCAGGTTGGAGCCGGCTCAGGGAGACCGACTGGTCCTCCTCGCCCTGCAGCGGGGGCAGGGATGCCAGTCGGGAGTGGAGAATTGCTGCTTTGTGGTGGTGGCTCTGGATATGGAGTCTGTGACTTTCTAGTGAAAGCGCTTGTCAGTGAGCACAAACTACTCATGAGATGACACTAGATTCTTACTTTATTCTGTGGGTTTGTAAATAAACTGCATCTTGGGAGAGCACTGGACTTCGGCTTTGTTTTTCCATGGGACCGGGGCTAACTAAATTCCTTGTTGAGCAGATTGCCCACAAAGCTGTGGGTGCCCCATCCCTGGAGGCACTCGAGGCTAAGTTGGATGGGGCCCTGAGCAGCTGAGCTGGAGGGGGGGGGGGGCAGCCCTACTATTCCTCAAGCTCTGCAGCCTCATCTCTTGCAGCAGGGTCCAGGGCAGCCCACGGTGCTGTTAGGAGGCTGAAAGGAGCTACTTGTGCTCCTCCTGCCCTGAGGCCTTTGGTGGTTGCTCAGGTTTTGGAAGGACCCGGAGAGCTCACCCACCCCTCAGCTGGAACAGGCAGCAGCGCCAGGCCCTCCCACCAGCACCACAGAGAAGTTTCGGAGCACGTGGCCGTTTGGAATTTTTTTAATAAAATGTTTTGTTTTTTTTCTTTCAAATATTTGTAACTGAAAAAATAATTCAATTTAAAGATCCATTCTCTCCCCCATTAACTTGTCACTCTTATCCTTTTCCAGTTGAATACTCGCTCTGGATCCGACACCCCAACACCGTCCGTCTCAGATGGTGCCGATCACCCCTCGCCGTTTGCTGCATAGTGGAAGGGAGAGTTCGTGCTAGTCAAATACACGTTACAAACAAGTAGTGGTTACAGCAGAAAGATTCAGGATTACATTCAAGGTAGAGGCAGAACATCAGACTTCTTGTTTTTCCCAGTGGGTGCAGAAATGTACGTCCAGGGGAATACCTCTTCCAACAAAGAACTATTGAACTATTATTCAAACAAATAATAGTAAGAAAGCAGAGAACTGGGCTAGCCTGCTCTGGGCACATCTTGGGGAAAAGACCTCTATTATTATTTGCTAGGATGAGACGCCCCGTTCCCACTGCCCTTAGCCACCAGGTTATCACTGCTGTGCTGGCAGAAGCCCTTTGTGCAGGGGGCCCCAGCAGCCTCGCTGCGTTCCTCAGCTGGTTTCAAGTACATTGGGCCAAAGTAATGTATTCCTACAGCTTTCGTAAGGGGAGGTGGGTGAGCAAAGGCCAACAGCGGTGCATAGAAACTGAGCCTTTTGCCACCCACCCAGGGGAAGGGTGAAACCAGTAAGGGGCGCTGGCACCTCTGCCAGCAAGGGCTGGGGGCCCCGGCCCAGCACAAAGAACCATGGCTGAGTCAGGCCTGGGGTGCAGGTGGAGTGCTCCCACCTTCCGTAGGAGAGAATTGCACTTGGATACTTTTATTCTTTATTTGCTGGTTGCCACTTTGTAATTATTTGTACAAAAGAAGAAATCACGCAGGTGTTTCTTTTTTGGGGGGGGGGGGGGGCTGCTCTCTGCAGGCTAAAAGCAGCTGATTTTGCTTGAGTTTGAGGAAAAGGCAGCCTCATTTTTCCTCCTTAACATGTGAAATACTTCATGGAGGAAAGATCTTCCTCCTGCTCCCCTGCCACACTTTTCTCCTATGCTGTCTGCCTCCTGTGCCATGTGGTCCCATGGCCAGTCAGCTGTCCTGGGTGGGCTCTGACACTGTCCTTGTTCATATCTCAAAGCAAAGAGTCAGGGCCTGTGCTGCGAGAGCTCTGCAGCATGATTTCTAATGTGCTCCTGCCTCTGCTCCTCTGTGCCAGGTTCCTGCTTCCCAGTACACACAACGCACAACCACCATAATCATGCTGGGCCTGAGAAATGAGAAGTGAGGAAGGCAAGAGTGGAAGGAAGGGGCAGGGATGGATGGTCCACCAGTCCCAGTTACTGGTTTTTATGATGGGACTGGGGCTTGGGCAACAGAAGGAGTGGGGGCAGAAAGGCAGCTGCCAGCAGGCATCCCCCACAAATGATTAAGGAAGTGGCTCCCCATGTAGCTGACAAGCAGATCGGGCTCAGGAAGGCAGGACTTTCTCCCAGCTGCACTGCAAGTGTGAGCTCAACCAGCTGCCAGGTCAGTTCCTGACAGCGAGTACTGTGGGGCTGCAAGTGCACAGGAATGGAGGTTCCAGGCCACAGCTGATTGCTGTGTTTGCCTCTTAACACTGAGGTGTGGGCACAGCAGAGCAGAGCAGAGACAGAAGCCCATCAGTTCTCCTCAGAAAGGGCCCCCCACAGTAGCGCTCCTGAGCCAGCACAAACCCTCTCAGCAGTGCCTCTTCCCTTTCCTTGCTGCTGGGGCTGACATCCTTCTCTCCTTGGGGCTGGAGGGCAGTTTTGGAGGTGGGAGGAGCTCTTCTTTACACCTGGGTCACCTGCTGCAGGGAGGCAGTAGCACAGCTGAAGGCAGGAGAAAGATTGCACGTGGCCCTTAATGATATGTTTACTCGATGGCAGCTGTGCCCCTCTGCACTCCCCAGGACAGTGGGCTGATGCCCTGCTCAGCTTGGGGGCAGTGAGCAGAGTGCCTGCAGGCTGACTCCAGGCACAGCTGGAGACCTGGGTCAGTGAAGGACAGATCTAACCTGGATTTTAGCACCTTAAAAGTCTGTTTTTGCAGCCCAAAGCAAGTGAAGCAAGTGGCAGCCTTTGCCAAGCTCAGCAGGACTTTAGAAACCAGCTCAGAGAGTACCAGGTTGGTGGGAAACTCCGGTTTCCTTTGGCTACATTTGGAAAAGGTGCCTGTTCTGCCTATTCCTTACAGCCCTGTGGCAGAGGTGACCCCTGACGGATGGCACAGGGGCAGCAGGCAGCTCTCCTGGCAGCTCCCTCCTCTGTGCCCTGCTCCAGAGGTAGAATAATCCCCTTCCGCAACCATTAACCGGGGCAGCTGGGGCTGTGTAATGCTCCAGATCTGCCAGCAAGGAGTGGGATGCTGCTTTCAGAAGGGCTCAGGTCCGCTCACACCCTGTCCTGCTGCAAGAAGCATTCATCACCTGCAGCTCTATGCCCACATCCTGCAGGAGGGAGCGGGGCTGCTAGCTCTGCTCTCGCCCCAGAGCTGCAGCCATTCTCCTGGCCCCACTGCTCTGCTGGCAGTGGTTTAAGCAGCGGGTCTGCCCTTGCTGCCACTGCTGGCTTCATAGGGGAGGAACACTGTGGGGGAGGAGTATAGATACTAGGAGCTCCTTTTTTTTTTTTTTCTCTTTCTTTTGTTTCTGGGGTTTCTTTTGGTTGACTGGCCTCTTCCCCCTGCATGCCCGTGCCCTCCCGCACCCATTCCCTTCAGTCTCTGCTCACAGAGTTACAAGCACGAATCCCAGTGCAGCTGCAGATCATGTCCATCAAGGAAGTCTGTGGAAAAGAGGCTGGGAGCCGTGGTGCTGAGGGGGGCCAGGCTCATGACAGATCCCCCCGGCAACTCCAGCCAGTCCATGCTGTCCAAATTAGCCTCAGCCAGATCCAAGGCTATGCCCCCGGCCGGCTCGTGAGCAAAGTGCAATTCCGAGGTGTCCATGGGTGAAGGCGGGTGGTCCAGGATGGCCGAGCTGCTCAGCATCTCACTGTGGAGGTCATCGATCAAGGACAGGGGCTCAGGCCCATCGTGGCCTGCCGTCAGCAGCGGGAGGCCGGTGCTGCTCTCCAGGAAGTCCTCCAGCCGCCCCACGGGCACCGTCTGCCCCAGCGACACCGGCACCGCCAGCTCTGAGGAATGGTGGCTGCTGGGCGGTGAGGAGCAGGCCGGGGCTGCAGGTGGTTCTTTTCCAGCTGGGGATGACTGATCCTTGAAGTCAGCAGAAATCTCTGCAAGGGAACAAACACGCCATCCAGGTGAGGAGACGCATGGCCAAACACCGCAGCGATTCCTCCCACCCAGCATGGCAACCTGGACCCCCCCAGGATCGAACCATCACTGAGCACAGACAGGGATAAGGAATCTGCCCATGCCTGCGTTCTGCTGCCTGAAGGGAGTTTGTGGTGTGCCCACAGGGAACCCAAGCATTGGCTCAGAGCAGAGACGTGCCCAGAGCTGATGCAGCACAGCAACCAAGCAGCTTTTCAATCCTATTAATGCCCATCTGACATCTCCCTTAGTGCTTTAATGACTGCTAGGGACACAGAAGTAAAGACCTTGGTCATGACACATGCTCCTCTCAGTGCTCTATAATCCCTGGGTCAAACCCACTGGATGGGAAATGCAGGTTTGTCTCCTTACCTCCACTTTCTATGAGAATGTCAAACAAGTCATCCATCTGCTGGCTGGAACAGCCATTCTCCTGGGGAGAGCAAGCACAGGATTAGCTTCCTATTACAGGGGAGCTTCCCTCCAGCAAGACACTTGGCTGCTGGCTCTCCTCCCTCATCCCAGTAACAGGGCTGTCACACTGCATGGACAGCACACAGACCCATGGCACCAGACTCCTCCATGATCCCAGGCTGCTACTGGAGGCAAAGGTGCAGTCAGCAACTGCTCTAACACCCACTGGGCACTGAGCAGTTTGGGATCTTTTCCTGGGCATGGGATCTTCCCCAGGCCCTCCAGAATGAATTTCAAGAAGGAATTTGGATAGAAAGGTTCAGAAGGGGTTGTTTTGTCTCTGTTCTCCTTCAGTGGCCCAGGTCAGGAATCTAAGTGGAATTACAGCAGCACCTTTCCTCCTGTTCTCACCTGGGTCTTTGGCTGCTGCTTCATGGCCTCTTCATAGCCCGGTGGCTGTTTCAGTGGGACTGAGGGGACAGGGAGAGGTGGTGGAGGAGGTCCAAAAAGCGATGTATGCTGCTGCTTCTGCTGCTTCTGCTGCTTCTGCTGCTGCTGCTGCTGTTGCTCCAGGTCCATCTGGGAAGGGGAGGGGGCAGCAGGAGAGCTGGGCTGGGATGAGGGCTGTGCAGAGCAAAGACATAAGGAATGATCAGGAAAAAGCTCATGGTTTCTTTAGCGAATGTCACTCCTTCTCTTGCCTGGGCATCACTCCTCTCAGCAGCCTGGCTTCTGTGCACTCCATGCACTATGCACCGATGACACAGAGACAGACTTCCCCTCAACTCAGCTGGAAATCTCTCACTGATATTTTTTATGCTAAGACAACCACACCACAAACCACCATCAGGCTGCTCCATGATGGGGAAAGCCTCATTGGTCCAAGTGGGG